ACCTGCGGCCGCGCAGCGCCGTGGCTTCTGAATAAATGAAAATGATTTAACTCAGTTGTTTATACTTTTAGCAGCTCTTTTTATCCCACAGCTGACCTGCTAAAAGTGACAGATTTTCTTTTCTGGATCTCTGACAGACGGACTTCAATCTCTGAACTCGTAAAGTTTTTCTTTTTAATTTTCGCTGTCATTTTCATGAATGGACACTTCCTAATATCTGAGGCTGGAAACATAGCCTTATATGGTGTTTTTGGGGTGGTTATTATGCTAATCTCCTCTTGCGTGCACGAGCAGCTGGATATGAACAGGTGGAATTTACGCATCTCATTTACACACTTTTCCTGAAGATAGAAGAGTTTGTTGAATCTGACGTGACATGTTCGTACGAACAAACGTTAAGAGAAATTTAGGATAATACGAACATGTTCTTGCATGAGGCCCATTGTTGGCCAATTTGATGTAACCACCTTTGTGGATCCATTTTTAAAAAGCAGTAGTTCTCAATTCTGGCACTCATGACCCACTATCCTGCATGTTTTAGTTGTTTCTCTGCTTTGGTACACTTGGTTTAAATGAATGAGTGATTGACAAGCTTCTGCAGAACTTAAAGACCTGCTCACTCGGTCATGAATAGTATGGACTTGTGTTTCCAGAGTTTTACTTCATTTTATATTCTAAAATATAAAAACTCCTAACAAATAATTTAAACAGTGAGCTCACGTTGCAGGTTTTTTTCATTATTATGCAGCCATTTTCTGCGGGCAACCTGTCAGTCAAATGTTAGCTCAGCTCTAAAGCCTATAATATATAATATTTTACACATACTTTGTCAAAGTCATTTTACAGAATGAATGTTTTTACAGAAAAGGGTCGTCCTACACCTCAAGACTTCCTCCTCATTGGAAACATGTCCTGTAAAATCCACTGTTAATACATTTTCTTGTGTACTTGGAGTGCATTGACCTTGTTGACATCTTTTAATTTATTTATAAATAAAAAGTTTCTGCGCTGCTATATAGTCGTAAACCCCTCTATCAAAGTAGAATGAGCCTGTCTGGAAGCTGGAGGGGGCGGGGTTGAAGCTCCTCATTTGGATTTAAAGAAACAGCTTCAAAATGAGTTTATTTGAGATGCATCTCAAAAAAGGGGCGGGGCTTGTGGAATTACAATAAAAAGGAATTCAGGCCTAGGCAATGCAGCAGTTTATATAGACCCGAACTGAAGGATTTAAAAGCATCACGTGTTTCATTTAAAACAATCAGAAAATATGAGGGTTTTAAATGTTTGTAAATGGAACCCTGTACACATCATGTTAGGTTTAAACTTACTGGAGTCACTTTTCATGAAATAAAACTCTCATGGCTGAAAATGAAAAGTCATTAAATGTTCCTGCATTAGGGGGTTTTTAGTGGCTTCGCCCCTTTTCATCCAGAATAATTGTAACATGCAGTTACAACCAAAGACCTGCAGGAATAGGTGCAGCGGGTCTGGGACTAAGTTTCTAAAACTTTTTGGTAGCAGCTAGGGCTGCACCGATTAATCGATTAATTGACAACTAATTGATTATTAAAATAATCGATGACTAATTTAATAATCGATTAATCGTTTTCTTTTCTTTTTTTGTTCTTTACTTTGTTTTTCTCACCAAACTGCTTTGACACCTTCCACTGCCACATCTGCCTTTCTGTCCTTGACACACATGCACAGTAGTGGTAACTGGGGTAGGCCGTGGACGTCACAAGTAGGGCTGCACCGATTAGTTGAAATAATAGATGACGTTGATTATGTAAATTTGTCGACACAGATTTTTTATTATCGATTCGCTGTATTACATAACCACCACGTGAATGTTCATGCAATTCCATTTTGGTACCTAAAAGCATCATTGTGACTGTATTGGCATAAGAGTGGTGAGTTTTCCATGCTTGTCCTGAACGCAGCATTGCGCAAGAGCGTAATGATGTCAGCAGCTGCTGCTTCAGTTCAGTCTGAAGCTTGAAAACAAGCCTCACAGCTCCTGGAGTAAAATTTACCAAACAGACCACCTCTGAATTATCTGGTGGATTAATTATCTTGTGAACATGACGTTCACTTGCTCAAAGTAAATAAAGTACCACCAATTTCTTTATTTCATCCACCATTAAACAGAGACCGGTGTTAGGTCGAGCCACGTTCCCCCATCAGACGGTTCCCCCATCAGACGGTTCCCCCATCAGACGGTTCCCCCATCAGACGGTTCCCCCAGCGTCTCAAACAACAGAGGAGCTTCCCGACACACGTCTGACCTAAAGAGCACAAGCAGCCAACAAGTGTTGGACGTGTTCTGGATGTTCAAAACGTAGCTTAAATATATTTATTAATTTTAACTGCATCCTCTTGTTTATTTGATTTAAACTTATTTGCCTTCCATAGACCTCCATCACACAATGTTTCTAGTGGAGAAATGACATCAATAGAAACACGTGGAGCTGGATTTTAATTTGTGCAATAAGACAAAACAGTCTTGTTGTTTTCAACAGTTTTCACCTTAAAGAAAAAAGTTACACAACTGATGTTACAATACAAAGAGTTGGATGTTGTCTTAATATTCGTTAATTTTTATATATTGAGAAATATGTTAAATAAAAAATAATAAATAAATGTTTATTATAGTTTTCCCAGAGTGACTTGAATTTTACATGATTTAGTTCATTTGTTAGATTGTTTACATCTTGCACTATATTTCTTTTACTTGAATTTTATATGATTTGGTTGAGATTTGATGTTGATGTTAAATCTTTTAAGCTTTATTTTTTGTTAAAGAATTGACTCTAGAGTGCATATTTTGTGTCCATGAAAAAACTGTTACAGAAAATATTACAATATTAAAGAGCTGTTCTTGTTAATTTAATGAAAACATTTTAAATTTCCAGTGCACTCACATCAGAATAACTTATAGATTTCTTGTTAGAATTATCGATTAATCGAAAAACTAATCGTTAGATTAATCGATTAGAAAATAATCGTTTGGTACAGCACTAGTAACAGCATCACCTGAAGGTCTTCTAAACGAGGAACGGATTTATTCACATTTTACTTCATTATTACAACTCTTGCTTATTGTTTGATAACTTCTTCTCACATTTTTTTTACTTTCTAACAGCACCAATAAGTGGCACAGACCCACCCTTCATGAAAACATGGTGTGAGCGTAACTTTTCTTTATTTCCTCTCTTCCAACAGAGTGTTGGAGTGAGAAAACTCTCAGGTGTAAAAGCTCCGCCCCCTCAGAGCAGGAGAATGACGGACAGGAGGAATACGTCTTCGTCTTCGTCCTCTGTGTCCAGCTTCAACTCCAGCCTCTCTCTGTCTCCTGCTAAAGGTACACTGCAGCAACAGAGACTGGTTCATTTTGAATTAGTCTTAAAGCGACAGGAGACCCCTCATTATTAACATCAATGAAAGCTAATAGAAAATAACTAATTAGGTTTTGTAAGATATATTAAAGGAGACCTATTATGAGGTCCTAGAACAAGTTAGGATCCGTCTGTGAGCTCTACATAACATGTTAATTTGATTTAATTCACAAAATTAATCTCAGATAATGAAATTACACCTTTTTAGTTCTGCCTGTTCTGAGCTCTCATCAGACCTGCTGCTTGCATGAGTTGCTATGGAAACCACCTCCCCACCTGTTGGTTACGTTAGCTCCGCCCCCTGCCAGAAGTTTACTTTCACTTTCCTTTCAGATTCTTTTCAGTTGAAAGTACTATTTTTCCAAAGTAGTTCATGGTGAAATTATTTACACAAACGTTCATAGAGCTGGGCGGTATGACCAAAACTTTATATCACTGTATTTTCAACATTTACACCAGTTTGACTGTATTTTTCTTTTCATCACAGGTCAGCTGATAATAAAATGTACAAACACTGCTAATTGACTTTTTTTCTTTTACTGTAACTTTGTGTCTGTGCAGTAAAACAAAACCAAAATGATTTTCTAATAAATGAACTTACAGTTACTGCACACTTTATGCCTAGGAGTGTGAGTAAATATGTTGATTTTTTTTCCTTATGGATTTAACTTGATGAAAAACAAACGGCAATGCCGATAGTGTCTTTATTGCGCAAAATAACAGTCAGACAATATATAACAACATTTTGAAAACCACACAACCACATAAAAAAGTACTTCAAAGTCTGAATGTAACCGAAGCAGCTCCTGGAGCAGCTCCCCTGTTGCTGCCCAGCCTTGGCTGCTTCGACACGGATAGCGGGGCAGCTGATACCGATAGGTGTAGGAGAAGCTGGAGAAACGGTCCGGGAGCTCAGCTGGTCACTTGTCGAAGGTGACTCTGAACAAAAAACCAACGATTAGCCTCAAATATGGTTAAAATTAATTACTAATTACAATAAATGTAAAGCTGGGGTGTTGTGTTTAGCCTCGATTGCTAACTAGCGATAGCCGCTAGCTGCTAACTAGTTAGCATCAGATACAAACATGCACAAAGAACATATCGGTACAAATTTTACAAACTGCTCAACAATAACATTAGCATGCTAACGCACATAGCAGTGCTGCAAGGAATAGTGTCCCCCGAGAAACAGGTCACTGGCCGGCCGCGACCGTCCTGTGAAGAAGTGGGCGGAGTCTCTGCTTGGGACGAGTTGGGCTCAGGTTGGTGTGGGCTGAGTCCGGCCTGTGACATCACAGGCCGCAGGAAGTTGAAAACTTGACATTAACATACATGAAAAATACATTTACTTAGAGTAAATATACCCCTGGGTACATTTTTTTGGTCCTAGGACTGTTTTTTTTAAGAAGTACATACTCAAAGTTGAGTAAAAAAAAACTTAAAAAAGTGAATTTTGCATAATAGGTCCCCTTTAAATTATCAGCTGTTGATAACTTTACCTCCAGCTTCTTATGATCAGAGGAAATATGTAATCAACAACTCTGTCTTCTGTCTCCACTCAGGTAAACCGAACTCTTCTCTGAACCAGACTCTGAGCAGCTCCACTGGCCCCACCCCCAGCAGTGTCAGCAGACCAGCCAATCAGAGCAGACCTCTCCGCTCCACTGCCTACTCGGCTGCAGAGGCCAGCAGCAGTCGCCGCTCGCTGTCCTTCCATGCCAAGAAGCTGCCTGAAGGGGAGCGAGGCGGAGCCACCAGGTCCACGCCCCTGAAGAGAGCTGAGACCACGCCCCCTCAGCTAACACCCCCAACAAAGAGACTCCTGCAGAGGACCGCCTCCTTAGCCACGATGGGCCCAGCTCGGCTTCAGAATGGTGTGAAGACCAAACCCAAGCCTGAGACCCTGACGTTTACCACGCCCGGCTCAGCAGGTAGAGTTTGTTTCTTTAATTCAGCAAAAATAAGAGGAGGAGTGACATTTTACCCTGGCTGATCGGCTCATACATCTGTGATGCCCTAAATATCCAGTTATTACCTACCTTTAGGCAAACATTCATTATGTTATTTAGAACTACTTTTTCCCCCAGAATTTCTTCTGTCTTTAACATTATTCAGAAACATCTGAGGCTACAACCCTGAATGTGCAGGTCTAACCACATCAATGTGAAATAAAATTAATATCTTAAATTAATCTATATCTGCCTCTCTGGGTTTATAAAATATGAGCTTTGATTTAAATGTCTTGAATCAAATTAACTGTCTGTCTTCATATCTTTAACGCACCTGTCTTTCTGTCCTGTTGTCTTTCTGTTCTGTTGTCTTTCTTTCCGTCTTCAGATGGATCCAAGATGTTAAAGCCAAAAAGATTTCTGTCGACCGGCAGCACAGACGGGTATAATACTTCATGTCCTGCTTCACACACCATCTTTGTTTTTGTTTGTTTAATTTCACTCTCACGTTCATCACTTAATGAAAACAAGCTCAGATTTTCTGTCATCATTTCCTCCAGTTTTGAGATGATAAAATCCTCCAGAGGGGAGGAGAAAAACATCTTTAACTACAGAAAATCAGCCTGTTTGTTTTTGTTTTGGGGAGATTTGCTACAAGCTTCACTAAAATCCATCCAGTGGTTTATAGATATTAGAGATATTTTGCTAACAGATAGTGTGCAGTCTGTGTGCAATGAATAAATATAATAAACCAAAGTTTCCTAATTTACCTAATTTAATTTAGTTACCTAATTTCCCTCTGGGATCAATAATTTTTGAATTGAATTGAATTCACTTTTTGAATAGAATTACTGAAATAAATGAACTTTTTCATGATATTCTAATTGTATAACCAGCACCTGTATTAATAGGGTTAACAGTTGGTTATTACAAAGTTTATCTCAGTATCTGTAAAATTAACTGAGCTGTAGACATTTTTCTGTTTGCTAACATTTTTTAGCTGTGGCAGCCATCTTGAATTGGGAAGACTCCTTAGGTTAATCATTTTTTGACGTTCACAGATTGTTTTTTTTCCATTTAATTTAAATCTGTTCAGTAATTTCTGCATTGGAATAGACTCTTAAGTGCGTATTATGTCTTCATGAAAAAATATTAAAGAAAATATTGCAATATTAAAGAAGTTTTCTAATTAATTTGGTGAAAATACTTTAATTTCCAGTGCACTCCCATTATAATAACCTAAAAATTTGTTGTTAGATTAATCGAAAAAATAATCATTAGCTTAGTCGATTAGAAAATAATTGTTAGAGGATTCCTGTGAATCCTTAAAAAGTCTTAAAAGGCCTTGAATTCATCAATCCAAAAATAAGGCCTTAATTAGCCTTAAAAGGTCCTAAATCAATTTTCAGAAGATTTAAAAATGTTAACACATTTTAAGTTGGATGACTGTAATTCTTATCAAATATTAAAATAATTGGGAAAAATGATTTATTTTTAAAATATTTACATTCAGACAGTCCCTTTGACACCACTTCCTGTTCTTTCACATGCATATATCTCAACAACTGTCCATCTGAGCAATGTGACATTTGTTTTCTAATGTTAATAATGTTGTCTTTCCGAAAATACATTCATATTTCTTACAAAAATTTGATATCACAGGTAGGCACTTTAAGGTTTCATCTGCAGCAAGCTGGGGTTGAATAATTCATAATTCAACTAAAAATACTTTGCTTCATGAGTTTCTGCCACAGTTTTAATTTTTTTGGCATTTGTGTTTATCATGAAATTTGATTTCACTTGACATTAAAACGTCTCAAAAAGTCTTAAATTTAACTTGCTTTAAAACTGTAGGAACCCTGTTAGGTGCAGCACTAGACAGGATTAATGCCAGCCATTGATGTAAAATATTGAAACAGATTTTGGACGTTTGGAGTGTGATGGGGATGGTGCTCTGCTGCGACCACACAGAAAATTAACCTAAAATCTCTGACTGAATTTTTACCATTTTTATATTTCTTTTACTTAAAAGACTTTTAAGTTGCCTAAATTTAGCAACATTCTTGATTGTAGTGGAATCTTCGTGAGTTTCTATAAAATATGTCTCACACACACGCATCCTTGTATTTGCATCAAACTGAGGACTTTGTACTGACTTCCATTCATTTTTGTAACTGTATTTATGCCTAACCTAGACATTTTCACTAAAACTAACCATTACTGGTTCATTCCTGACCCTAACCTGAACCAAAACTTAATTCACACAAAACCTTTAAACCTAAATAGTAGACCTGTAAAAAAATGTCTCCACTTTCCACTAATGTCCTCACTTTGTTGGTTAAAAACATGAGGGTCCTCACTCTGTAGCAGAAACAAGCACACACACACACGCACAGGCAGAGACGTGTCAGAAACATGGTTGTTCTGCCTCGGCAGGTGAACAGTAACAAACCTGATTCTCTCAGCAGTCTTCTTCAGAAGTCTTCAGCTGCTCCTCTGACCGCCTCCGTCGGCAGCTACAAGCCTCTGCAGGCGTCACAGCGACCCTCCTCCCTGCCCACCCCGGTCAAACGCAGGATGTCCGCCATGCCGGCCTCTGGCAGCCAGACTCGAACCGCTGGGTCTCCGACTGTCGCAGACTCCACCATCAGACCCCCCACTCCTCCTTCAGTGAGCAAACTACAGTGTTGTAGGTGAGCTTCCTCCTGTTTTCAGTCTGTCTGCTTGTGTTTCAGTACGGACAGACTCATCCTCACCTCTCTTCTCTTTATAGTCCCGATTTAAAAAACCAGCCTGCTCACCCTCCTGACATTCAGCCCTTTCGTCTGGAGGAGGAGCCCCCTGTCGTCAACTCCCCTCCAAAACCTCCAGAGCCCAGCCAGACGGAGAACACGGATCCTGGAGGGCTGAGAGGAAACGAACCGGCTCCCACCAAGAACCTCATGGACCTGGAGACGACAGACGACAGCTCGACTCAAACACAAGAGGTCAGGAGTTTTTACTGCTGGTGGTAAATAGAGGCTGCAGTATGTGTTTGTGTTTACGTTACATGTTGGTGTAAATTGTGGCAAAGTATTAGGACTACTCAGATCGATGTTTTCCACTTTCAAATTTAACAGTATTCCAGTCGAGACTGAGAGCTAAATCTTTAAATTTGAAGCGAAATAAGAAAAGAAGTCATCTATTCTCAGGGTTCCTGCAGATCCTTAAAAAATCTTAAAAGTCATTGAATTCATCAATCCAAAAAATAAGTCCTTAATTAGCCTTAAAATGTCTTAAAGGGATCCATGATTAGTTGTAACATTAGACTTTATTTGATAAACATATATTTTAACTGTAAAATAAAGACTGTAAAAATAC